GTACTGTTCAGCATCACTAGTATTGTTCAGCATCACTAGTACTGCTCAGCATCACTAGTATTGTTCAGCATCACTAGTACTGTTCAGCATCACTAGTATTGTTCAGCATCACTAGTACTGTTCAGCATCACTAGTATTGTTCAGCATCACTAGTATTGTTCAGCATCACTAGTACTGTTCAGCATCACTAGTATTTTTCAGCATCACTAGTATTGTTCAGCATCACTACTATTGTTCAGCATCACTAGTACTGTTCAGCATCACTAGTATTGTTCAGCATCACTAGTACTGTTCAGCATCACTAGTACTGTTCAGCATCACTAGTATTGTTCAGCATCACTAGTATTGTTCAGCATCACTAGTACTGTTCAGCATCACTAGTATTGTTCAGCATCACTAGTACTGTTCAGCATCACTAGTACTGTTCAGCATCACTAGTATTGTTCAGCATCACTAGTATTGTTCAGCATCACTATTATTGTTCAGCATCACTAGTACTGTTCAGCATCACTAGTATTGTTCAGCATCACTAGTATTGTTCAGCATCACTAGTACTGTTCAGCATCACTAGTATTGTTCAGCATCACTAGTATTGTTCAGCATCTAGTATTGTTCAGCATCACTAGTATTGTTCAGCATCACTAGTATTGTTCAGCATCATTATTGTTCAGCATCACTAGTATTGTTCAGCATCACTAGTAGTGCTGTTCAACATCACTTCAGGAGGAAAGAAATAAGTCACTGACATTTTTGAGTCATACTAGCTAGGTGATTTACACATAATATGGGTGATAATTTGAGTACCTGTACCGGAAATCGCACCTAGTAAATTGCACCTATCCTGAAGACCAGGGGTCACTAGGCTCCCTAGACACTACAACCAGACGTGGTAAATAATAATAAAAATATATTTGTACCAGTATACGTACAAGGTACAGTGGAGCCTCTGGTTACGACCATAATTCGTTCCAAAATTCTGCTCTAGACCCGAATCTAATTTCCCCATTGGATTGTATGTAAATACGATTAATCCGTTCCAGATCCCTACGACCTGTATGTAAATATTTTTATTTTAAGATTTTTAAGCACGAGAATAGTTAATTATAACATAGAATGCACAGTGTAAGAGTAAACTAAAGGTAAAAATATTGAATAACACTGAGATAACCTTGAATAACACTGAGAAAACCTTGAATAACACTGAGATAACCTTGAATAACACTGAGATAACCTTGAATAACACTGAGATAACCTTGAATAACACTGAGATAACCTTGAATAACACTGAGATAACCTTGAATAACACTGAGAAAACCTTGAATAACACTGAGATAACCTTGAATAACACTGAGATAACCTTGAATAACACTGAGGTAACCTTGAATAACACTGAGATAACCTTGAATAACACTGAGATAACCTTGAATAACACTGAGATAACCTTGAATAACACTGAGATAACCTTGAATAACACCGAGATAACCTTGAATAACACTGAGATAACCTTGAATAACACTGAGATAACCTTGAATAACACTGAGATAACCTTGAATAACACTGAGATAACCTTGAATAACACTGAGATAACCTTGAATAACGGAGATAACCTTGAATAACACTGAGATAACCTTGAATAACACTGAGATAACCTTGAATAACACTGAGAAAACCTTGAATAACACTGAGAAAACCTTGAATAACACTGAGATAACCTTGAATAACACTGAGATAACCTTGAATAACACTGAGATAACCTTGAATAACACTGAGATAACCTTGAATAACACTGAGAAAACCTTGAATAACACTGAGATAACCTTGAATAACACTGAGATAACCTTGAATAACACTGAGATAACCTTGAATAACACTGAGATAACCTTGAATAACACTGAGAAATCCTTGAACAAAGCTTCTGCAGCAGCTGCGTCAGAAGTAACAGCCTCTCCATGCCTTACCACACTATGAATCAGACTTCTATAAAGCCAAGCCCTCTGGCCTGGCTGGCAAAGTTCTCGCTTCACACATGGAGGGCTCGGGTTCGATTCTCGGCGGGGTGGAAGCATTTCGACGCATTTCGTTACACCTGTTGTCCTGCTCACCTAGCAGTAAGTAGGTACCTGGGTGTTAGAGGACTGGTATAGGTGGCATTCTGGGGGGACAAGATTGAGGATCACAATGGAAATAAGACAGTCCTCGATGAGGCTATCCTGGATGGCTGACCCTCCAGGGTTAAAAATCCGAACAAAATCTTACTGGCTTTAAATCCATCACGTTCTGGACTCGTAGAAGGGCAATTCTGCCACAAATTACTGGGTATTTTCCTGGCTTCCGCTCATGTGATCGCCTGCCACATGTGTCTAATTGATCAAGTTGCATCTGATTCAACAACACATGCAACAGTCTCTCCACCTCTCCCAGCACTTGAGGCCTCTGCTGGGTTAACATTGCAATTCCCTTAGCAACATTAGCTACTTTAATAGCCGCTCTCTCCTTCACAATAGTCGAGATCGTAGATGCTCATGGGGGAGCGCTGAACCCGTAGGATTTTATACAGCGCCTGTGGAGGGGAGGGGATGGAAGGTATTCAGGGTTAATTCAGGGAACTGGAGTACAGATTCAATTCCTTAGATCAAGAGCCCCTGACCAGCGTCAAGGAACCACCCATGAGGTACCTTAGATCAAGAGCACCTGACCAGCGTCAAGGAACCACCCATGAGGTACCTTAGATCAAGAGCACCTGACCAGCGTCAAGGAACCACCCTTGAGGTACCTTAGATCAAGAGCCCCTGATCAGCGTCAAGGAACCACCCATGAGGTACCTTAGATCAAGAGCCCCTGACCAGCGTCAAGGAACCACCCTTGAGGTACCTTAGATCAAGAGCCCCTGACCAGCGTCATGGAACCACCCTTGAGGTACCTTAGATCAAGAGCCCCTGACCAGCGTCAAGGAACCACCCTTGAGGTACCTTAGATCAAGAGCCCCTGATCAGCGTCAACGAACCACCCATGAGGCACCTTAGATCAAGAGCCCCTGACCAGTGTCAAGGAACCACCCTTGAGGTACCTTAGATCAAGAGCCCCTGACCAGCGTCAAGGAACCACCCTTGAGGTACCTTAGATCAAGAGCCCCTGACCAGCGTCAAGGAACCACCCATGAGGTACCTTAGATCAAGAGCCCCTGACCAGCGTCAAGGAACCACCCTCGAAGGACCTTGGATCAACAGCCCCTGACCACCATCAAGGAACCACCCTCGAAGGACCTTGGATCAACAGCCCCTGACCACCATCAAGGAACCACCCTCGAAGGACCTTGGATCAACAGCCCCTGACCAGCATCAAGGAACCACCCTCGAAGGACCTTGGATCAACAGCCCCTGACCAGCATCAAGGAACCACCCTCGAAGGACCTTGAATCAACAGCCCCTGACCACCATCAAGGAACCACCCTCGAAGGACCTTGGATCAACAGCCCCTGACCAGCATCAAGGAACCACCCTCGAAGGACCTTGGATCAACAGCCCCTGACCAGCATCAAGGAACCACCCTCGAAGGACCTTGAATCAACAGCCCCTGACCACCATCAAGGAACCACCCTCGAAGGACCTTGGATCAACAGCCCCTGACCAGCATCAAGGAACCACCCTCGAAGGACCTTGGATCAACAGCCCCTGACCACCATCAAGGAGCCACCCTCGAAGGACCTTGAATCAACAGCCCCTGACCACCATCAAGGAGCCACCCTCGAAGGACCTTGAATCAACAGCCCCTGACCAGCATCAAGGACCACCCTTGAGGCGTCAAGATCGTAAACTTCTCTTAACCTCATCAGACAGGTGCTGCTTAACGTCTATTTTCTTCAACCTCTTCTTCTGACCAACATTATCACTCTTCACTTCCTTACAGGTCATCCTTAATTGCAAAATTAATTAAAAAACACAGGAAATACAACACAAGAAGTTCCCAGAGACTACAATGTCAGATGTAAACAACACAGGTAGTGGGGAAATTGGCGGGAAAAATGGCGCGCAATGAGAAAATTGGCGCGCAATCTGTTAATAATAATATATATGTTTCTACCAGTACATGTACAAGGTATACCAGTACATGTACAAGGTATACCAGTACATGTACAAGGTATACAAGTACATGTACAAGGTATACCAGTACATGTACAAGGTATACAAGTACATGTACAAGGTATACCAGTACATGTACAAGGTATACCAGTACATGTACAAGGTATACAAGTACATGTACAAGGTATACCAGTACATGTACAAGGTATACAAGTACATGTACAAGGTATACAAGTACATGTACAAGGTATACAAGTACATGTCCAAGGTCTACAAGTACATGTACAAGGTCTACAAGTACATGTACAAGGTATACCAGTACATGTACAAGGTATACCTGTACATGTACAAGGTATACAAGTATATGTACAAGGTCTACAAGTACATGTACAAGGTATACAAGTACATGTACAAGGTATAC